GCCTGACTGACCGAATACCACAAAGTTGGCACCGGAAGAATCAGCATTGGCACCCCATGCTCCCACGATCAGATCATCGAAGCCATCGCCATTGATGTCACCGGCATTACTCATCGTGTGTCCGGCCAGGCTGGCGATGGTGCCGTTGAGTCGGAAGCCGCTGATGCCGTTGAGTGTCAGCAAACTGACGGACACCGTGGACTCAACTTTGAGTGTCGCCGCTCCCTGTGTGTAAACCCGGAAGGTGTCGGGACCTATGACCTCGTCTGCCTGCTGCGTCCAGCCGACTTCGATGTTGACGACGTCACCCGCAGTACCTCGAACCAGCAGCGTATTGGAGTGTGTGCTGAGATTCAGAACTTCCCGAGCGGTCAGGATGAGTGTGTTGGTACCGCTGCCGGTGAGATCAACGGCTTCGATGTCGACGATGCGGTTGTCGGGAATGACGGTGAGGTCGAGTGTGAGTCCGCTGCCATCGAGCACGAGCGTGTCGAAGCCGTTGCCGCCCTGGACTCTTCGAGTGCTGCTGAAGTCCGTATCAGGGATGCTGAGGATGTCGTCCCCTTGAGCGCCTCTGAGCACATCGGCACCGCCATCGCTGATGAGCGTGTCGTTACCCTGAGCCCCCACCAGAATGTCGATGGCTCCGGCACCCTGAGTGGCGGTGAGTGTGTTGGCGGCGGCATCTCCCACCTGTGTTTCGACTCCACCGGTGAGGTTACTGCCGAAGACCACATAGCCGGAGCCGGAGTTTGCGTTGCCAAAAGGATCGGCGTAATCAGCGCCAATGGCGATGTCGTCGAAACCATCGCCGTTGACGTCGCCCGCATGACTGACGGATTTCCCACTGTCCTCACGGGTGATTCGGCCATCCAGCCGGAATCCGACACTGCCACTGATATCACTGACGCTCAACACACTGGCAAATGCGGCAGTCCGGCCAAAGATGACATAGGTGCTGCCAGCGGACGGGAAGGCGCCCGTCGCTCCGACGATCAGGTCGTCGAAGCCGTCGGCATTGACATCGCCCCCTCCTCCCACCGATTCGCCAACAGAGTCAAACGTTGTTGTGCCGTTCAGCCGGAATCCGGTAGATCCGTCCAGCGCGGACAGCTGGATGACTGACGAGAAGCCTCCAGAGCGGCCGAAAACAGTGAACGCGGTACCTTCCCGATCGTCCACAGGGCTTGTGGCGATGGCACCAATCACTACGTCGCTGAAGCCATCACCATTGATGTCTCCGGCGGTGCCGACCGACCAGCCGGCATCAGCAAATCTCTCCGGTCCGCTGAGCTGGAAGCCATTTGTTCCGTCCAGAGATGATAGTTGGATTGTCGGCGTGAATCCGGCGGCTGCTCCGAAGACCACCCAGGCCGCTCCGGATGAAAACAACTGAGTGGTCAGGCTGGCTTGTGGTGCTCCAATGATTATGTCATGGAATCCGTCACCATTGACATCACCTGCATTGCTGACTGCACGGCCGGACTGTCCGGAACTGATGAATCCGTCGATCCTGAAACCGTTGGTGCCATTCAGAGTGGACAGGCTGACCGCAGACGCAAAGCCACCGGACCGGCCGAAGATGATGTAGGTGGATCCTTCCCCGCTGGTGACCGGATCCGCCCCGGACGCCCCGATCATGAGGTCATCAAATCCGTCCGCATTGATATCTCCGGCACCGCTGACGGCGACTCCTGTCGTGTCTGAGTCCGCGATTCCGTCAAAACGAAGTCCATTCGTTCCATCAAGTGACGACACATTGACGGCCGCGGCAGAAGTGCCGGAGTGTCCGAACAGCACATAGACAGAACCGACGTGATCATCGTTGCCAACTTCGGTATTTTTTGCTCCGATCAGCAGGTCGTCGAATCCGTCGGCGTTAATGTCGCCAGCGCTGCTCACGGAGGATCCCAGTTGGTTCACTGAGTTGGCACCGTCCAGGCGAAATCCATTGGTGCCGTTAAGATCGGACGGGTGCAGCTCGGCCGGAAACCCGCCTGCCTGACCAAAGATGACGTAAGTCGAACCGGCAGACTGCCGATTGTTTGGATCCGCTGATTCTGCACCAATCAGGACATCGTCAAACCCATCGCCGTTGAAATCTCCAGCGGTGCTGACAGACCGGCCTGTAAAGTCCTGTGGGTGCATCAGGGAATCGCCGTCCAGTCGAAATCCGTTGGTTCCGTCCAGCAGCGCCAGGTTCTGCGTATCTGCCGGATCAACAGTGTCGATGGTAATCTGGTAATCCTCAACTTCTCCGTCGCTGGCGGGACCGGTGGTTGCAAGGCCTCCGGCCGTGCTCAATCGGAATCGAGCGTACGAGAGGCCTTCCTCAACGTTGGTGCCGGTGTCCTGAGGGATGACAAAGTTGAGCGCCTGGATCCCATCAAAGGTACCCAGATCGAAGTCGGTAAAGATCTGTTCATCGGGGTCGTCCCAGTCACCATCGCGATTCCAGTCGATCCAGGCGTCCAGCCGATTAGAAGTGCTGTCGGCGTTTGTCAGATGCACGTCAACAGATCCGGTTGATACGGAGTCAGTCAGCGAGACAATGAACGGTGAGGCGAACACGATACCGTCTTCATCGTCGACATCATTTTCGTCGTCGGTTTCGGCATACCTGCCGTGCTCTCCAAAGACTTCGATGTCGCGTTCCAGTCCAAGACGCGGCCCCGAATCGAGGTGACGTGCTCCGTCTTCGGAAACCGGATAGGGTGATTCAAAGCCGTACCAGAACGTCCCGGGTGCGTCTCCGAAGTCGTACAGTGCGGGGGCAGCTTCGCGGATTGCGACAGCGGAAACACCCAGGGTGGCAATTCCGTTGACGTATGAACCACGGATCGCAATGGACAGTTCGCCGCTCACATCGGCAGCGGCGAACTCAGCGGTCGTCCACAACTCACGGATCGAATCTCCTTTGGAATCATTTATCAGCAGCTCATTGGCATCGTAGTTCTGGCGGAGGATCTGACCCGGAATCGTGATCGAATGGCTGGTGTCGATGTTATGGCCACCGAAGATATAGATCTCGTAAATCTGCTCAGGGGACAGATCTGAGAATGTCAGAAACAGGTCATTGTCCGAAGAGAAGTCGACGAGCGTACCGTCGATGCCGCTGAGGGACTGTGTGTGCAGAGGCAGCTCATTGGGAGCCGGCGTGAAACTCTGGGTAGTGGCTGTCGCAGCGAAGAAGATCTGCACGTCGGTATTGGTTGTCGCTCCCGCTTCGTCCGTCAGGTTGCTGAGAGTGTCGCCGGAAACGCCATTGAAACTGTTCCAGTTGGTGGGAACTGTGCCGCCGCCGAAATCGATGCCAATCAGTGATCCGCCGCCAGGTGTCTCGTTATCGATTACATCGATGGTTTCGTTGGCGCTGGGAAAGCCAGCCGCGGTAGCGGTGATCGTCACTGTCTGGTCACCGTCGACCACAGCGTCATTGACAGGCGTGACTGTGAACGGGTCGGAAGTTGTTTGACCGGCGAAAATTGTGACCGTTGCGGGAACGGTTGCATTGCCACTGTCGCTGCTCAGCAGAGTGACTGTCAGATTGCTGCCAAGGCCGGAATTGCGTGTGACGGTTGCGGTCGTACTCGCACCGCCTTCCAGAATGGTGTCCTGGTCGATATTGATGATGAGTGTGCTGGCATCGTTGTCAGCGATGTTGGCTGTGGCGGAGGCCGTGTTGATCGTGACCGCCGGGTTGCTGGAACTGGAGATCTGGGCGATCAGGGTTTCCAGTGACTCGGTGTCGCCGTCGTCGGTGACGGCGACGGTGAACGTTCCGGTGCTGGAGCCATCGGCGACTGTGATCTGAGCGTTCGCTGGTATGGCCGTGTAGTCATCGCCGGAGGTGGCCGTGCCGGTGAGCAGGTCGTCCAGGTCGAAATTGATCGCGGCGCCCGTGTTGTTTGTTTTGCTCAGCGTGACCGTGAATTCAATGTCCACCGGACCGTCTTCGTCGCCGTGCATCGTCACGGACAGGTCCGCGGTGGCGGTGTCGTTGTCGGTGATGTTGGCCGTGGCGGACGCGGTGCCGATGGAGACGGCTGGGTCGCTGGAGTTGGAGATCTGTGCCGTGACGGTTTCTGTGGTTTCCAGCAGGGCGTCGTCGGTGACGGTCACCGTGAGCGTGCCGGTGGTGGCTCCGTCGGCCACGCTGATCTGGGCATTGGCCGGGATGGCGGTGTAGTCAGAGCCGGATATGGCGGACCCGGTGCCGAGGTCGTCCAGGTCGAAGGTGATCGCCGAGCCGGTGTTGTTGACCTTGTCGAGCGTCACCGTGAACGCGATGTCGATCGGGCCGGCTTCGTCACCGTGAGTGGTCACCGACAGGTCGGCGGTGGCCGTGTCGTTGTCGGTGATGTTGGCGGTCGCTGTGTCGGTGTCGATCGTAATCAGCGGATCACTGACGTTGGAAATCTGGGCGACCAGCGTTTCGGTGGATTCCAGCAGAGCGTCGTCGGTGACGGCAACGATGAGCGATCCCGTGCTGGCTCCATCAGCCACACTGATCTGGGCATTGGCCGGAATCGCCGTGTAGTCGGAACCCGACGCGGCCGACCCGCTGCCGAGATCGTCCAGATCGAACGTGATCGCGGAGCCGCTGTTGTTGGTCTTGCTGAGCGTCACGGTGAAGACAATGTTCACCGGGCCGGTTTCGTCGCCGTCTGTGGTGACCGACAGATCGGCTGTGGTGACATCGTCGTCGGCGATGTTCGCGGTGGCCGTGGCAGTGCCGATGGTCACGGCCGGATTGCTACTGTTCGAAATCTGCGCATTGAGCGTTTCCAGGATTTCGGTGTCGCTGTCGTCGATGACAGCGACGATCAGTGCCCCGGTGCTGGCTCCGGCTGCGACGGTAATCTGTGCGTTGGCCGGAATCGCTGTGTAGTCGTCGCCGGATGTGGCCGTTCCTGTGCCCAGGTCGTCCAGATCAAAGGTGATAGCCGAACCGGTGTTGTTGACTTTGTCGAGCGTGACCGTGAACACGATGTCGACCGGACCATCTTCGTCACCGTGGGTTGTCACCGACAGCTCGGCGGTCGCCGTGTCGTTGTCGGTGATGTTGGCGGTGGCAGACGCTGTGCCGATCGTGACCGACGGGTCGCTGGAGTTGGAGATCTCCGCCGTGACTGTTTCCGTCGTTTCGAGGACAGCATCGTCGGTCACGGTCACAGTGAGTGTGCCAGTACTGCTGCCGTCAGCGACGGTAATCTGCGCGTTGGCCGGGAAGGCCGTGTAGTCGGATCCTGAGGTGGCGGTGCCGGATTCGAGATCGTCCAGGTCGAAGGTGATGGCCGATCCGGTGTTGTTGACCTTGCTCAGCGTGACTGTGAACACGATGTCCACCGGCCCGGCTTCGTCACCCTGAGTCGTCACGGACAGATCGGCGGTGGCCGTGTCGTCGTCAGTGATGTTTGCCGTGGCACTGGCTGTATTGATGGAAATCAGTGGATTGCTGGGGTTGGAAATCTCAGCGGTCAGTGTTTCTGTGGATTCCAGCAGAGCGTCGTCAGTGACAGCGACGATCAATGATCCCGTGGTGGCTCCATCGGCCACGCTGATCTGAGCATTGGCCGGGATGGCCGTGTAGTCGGAGCCGGACGTGGCGGAGCCGGTGCCGAGATCGTCCAGGTCGAACGTGATCGCTGATCCTGTGTTGTTGACTCGACTGAGCGTCACGGTGAATTCGATGTCCGTCGGACCGAACTCGTCACCGTGCGTGGTGACCGACAGATCCGCGGATGTGGCGTCGTTGTCGGTGATATTGGCGGTGGCGGTATCAGTGTTGATGGTGACCGCAGGGTTGCTGGAGTTGGAAATCTGCGCGATGAGCGTTTCCAGAGCTTCCGTTTCCGCATCGTCGGTCACGTTGACGGTGAGCGTGCCGGTGCTGGCGCCGTTGGCCACGCTGATCTGCGCGTTGGCCGGGATGGCGGTGTAGTCGTCGCCCGAGGTCGCGGTGCCGGTGCCGAGGTCGTCCAGGTCAAAGGTGATGGCTGATCCGGTATCGTTGACCTTGCTTAGTGTGACTGTGAACACAATGTCGACCGGCCCGGTTTCATCACCATGAGTCGTCACGGACAGGTCGGCGGTGGCCGTGTCGTTGTCATTGATGTTGGCGGTGGCCGACGCCGTGCCGATGCTGACAGATGAACTGCTGGAGTTGGAAATCTGCGCGACGACCGTTTCGGTTGATTCCAGCAGACTGTCGTCGGTGACGGTGACGGTCAGTGTTCCTGTGGTGGCTCCATCGGCCACGCTGATCTGCGCGTTGGCCGGAATGGCGGTGTAGTCAGAACCGGACGCGGCTGTTCCGCTGCCGAGATCATCCAGATCAAAGGTGATGGCTGATCCGGTGTTGTTGACTCGGCTCAGCGTCACAGTGTACACGATGTTGACCGGGCCCGCCTCGTTGCCCTGAGTGGTGACCGACAGATCTGCGGTGGCCGTTTCGTCGTCGGTGATATTGGCCGTGGCCGAAGATGTTCCGATGGTGACGGCGGGATCGCTGGCATTGGAGATCTGGGCGATCACCGTTTCGGTGCCTTCCAGCAGGGCATCGTCGCTCACAACAACCGTGAGCGTGCCCGTGGTGGCTCCATCGGCCACGCTGATTTGAGCATTGGCCGGGATGGCCGTGTAGTCGGTCCCGGACGTGGCGGATCCGGATCCCAGGTCGTCCAGATCGAAGGTGATGGCCGATCCGGTGTTGTTCACTCGGCTCAGCGTCACGGTGTAGACGATGTTGACTGGTCCTGTTTCGTCACCGTGCGTGGTGATCGACAGGTCGGCCGTGGCCGTTTCGTTGTCGGTGATATTTGCCGTGGCCGATGCAGTGCCGATCGTCACTGACGGATCACTGGAGTTGGAAATCTGCGCGGCGACAGTTTCGGTGCCTTCCAGCAGGCTGTCGTCGGTGACGGTGACGGACAGTGTTCCTGTGGTGGCTCCGTCAGCCACACTGATCTGAGCGTTGGCCGGGATGGCCGTGTAGTCGGTGCCGGATGTGGCGGAGCCGCTGCCGAGGTCGTCCAGGTCAAAGGTGATCGCGGAGCCGGTGTTGTTGACCTTGCTCAGCGTCACCGTGAACACGATGTTGACCGGACCGGCTTCGTTCCCCTGCGTGGTCACGGACAGGTCGGCGGTGGCGGTGTCATTGTCGGTAATGTTGGCGGTGGCTGATACTGTGCCGATGCTGACGGAGGGTTCACTGGAATTGGAAATCTGAGCCGCCAGAGTCTCCGTGGCTTCCAGCAAAGCGTCGTCGGTCACGACAACCGTGAGCGTGCCGGTGGTGGCTCCATCGGCCACGCTGATTTGAGCATTGGCCGGAATGGCCGTGTAGTCGGTGCCGGAGGTGGCGGAGCCGCTGCCGAGGTCATCCAGATCAAACGTAATGGCCGAACCCGTGTTATTGATTTCGCTCAGCGTGACCGTAAACACGATGTTGACCGGACCGGCTTCGTCACCGTGCGTGGTGACTGACAGATCGGCCGTGGCGGTTTCGTCGTCCGCGATGTTTGCGGTGGCGGTGGCGGTGCCGATGGTCACCGCGGGATCGCTGGAATTGGAAATCTGGGCATCGAGCGTTTCGGTGCCTTCGAGGAGGGCGTCGTCTGTCACAGTGACGGAGAGAGTTCCAGTGGTCGCTCCATGGGCCACGCTGATCTGAGCGTTGGCCGGAATGGCGGTATAGTCGGTGCCGGAGGTGGCGGTTCCGGTCAGCAGATCGTCCAGGTCAAAGGTGATCGCCGATCCAGTGTCGTTGAGGGCGTTCAGGGTGACCGTGAACACGATGTTGACGGGACCGTCTTCGTCACCTTGCGTCGTCACAGACAGGCTGGCGGTGAGTGAGCCGTCGGTCTGGACCTTGAGTGTGGCGGCTCCCTGCGTGAAGACTTCGAACGTGTCCGGCCCGATGGTTTCATCAGCCTGCTGAGTCCAGCCGCTGCCGATGTTGACCGTGTCCCCTGCCCCTCGCCGCACCACCAGCGTATTGGAGTGTGAGCTGATGTTGAGAACTTCCTGAACATCCAGCGTCAGTGTGTTGGCTCCCGTGCCGGTGATGTCAATTTCTTCGATGTCGGTGATGCGGTTGTCCGGGATGGCGGTCAGATCCAGGGTGAGTCCACTGCCGTTGAGCAGCAGCGTGTCGGTGCCGGCACCGCCCTGAACTCGTCGAGTGCTGCTGAATGTGACGTCGGGAATGCTGAGATCGTCGTCGCCTCCACCACCGCGAAGTACGTCCGCTCCACCATCGCTGATGAGAATATCGTCATTCAGGCCACCGATCAGCACATCGACGCCCGCTCCCTGAGTGGCGGTGAGTGTGTCGGCCGCGGAGTCGCCCACCTGCGTGTCCGGACGGCTGTTGTACAGCTTGCCAAAGACGACATAGGTCGAACCGGCCAGGTTAGCACCGTTCGGATCTGCGTTGTCGGCTCCGATCAGCAGGTCGTCGAAGCCGTCACCATCGACGTCGCCAACGCTGCCAATGGAACGCCCAAGATGGTCACCCGCGTTTTCCCCGTCGATCTGAAATCCGGTGGTCGATGTCAGACTGCCAACGCTGAGCGAGGCGCTGAATCCCCCGGCGGCTCCGAACACGACGTACGCGATTCCTGCATCAGCTCCGCTGGCCGGATCGCCAATTCTGGTCGCCACAGCGATGTCATCAAAGCCATCGGCGTTGACGTCGCCCGCTCCATTGACGTGCAGTCCGATTTGATCGCCCGCGGTGGCTCCGTCAATCCGGAAGCCGTTGGTCCCATTGAGACCTGTCAGGCCAAAGGTGGCCCCGAATCCGCTGGAGGCCCCAAAGACCACATAGCTGGCTCCTGCAAAAGCACTGCCCCCCGGGCTGGCCAGTCGTGCTCCGAGGACCACGTCGTCGAATCCGTCGGCATTGACATCTCCGACATTGTTGACGGTTAGCCCAAGTTCATCTCCGGCCGCTTCGGCATCGATGCGGAAGCCGTTGCTGCCGTTGAGGCTGGAGAGATCGATGGCCGAGGCAAAACTGCCAGCTCCATACAGGATGTACGCGGATCCCGAGCCAGCTCCGCTGTTGGCCGCTTTTCGGGCGCCCAGCAGGATGTCGTCGAATCCATCGGCGTTGAAGTCGCCGGCGGTACTGGCCGCATGGAAAAATCCGAGTTCATCGCCACTGGCCACTTCATCGATGCGGAAACCCGTGCTGCCGTTGAGGGCTGTGAGGTCAATGGCGGAACTGAAGCCGGCTTCCGTTCCAAAGACCACATAGACGGCTCCATTGCCAGGACTGGAGAAGGGAACACTGACCAGCAGATCTTCCAGCCCATCGGCGTTGACGTCACCGGCGCCGCTCACGGCCCAGCCGGAACCGGTGGCGGTGCCCGGTCCTTCCAGTCGGAAGCCGGTGGTTCCGTTGAGTGAGGAGAGACTGATGGTGGAAGAAAATCCGCCGGAAGCCCCGAGGACCACATACGCGGCTCCCCCGCTGCTGCCTGCGGCATCGCCAAAGCGCGAACCAATGATGATGTCGTCGAAGCCGTCGTTGTTGATGTCGCCGGCTCCGTTGACAGTCCAGGCCGTGGAGTCCTCTGCATTGACTCCATCAAGCCTGAACCCGTTGGTACCGTCCACGGAGGAGAGGTCGAACGGTGTGGTGAATCCGCTCGACTTTCCGAACACAATGTACGTCGTTCCGGCGTCGGTGGTCCCGCCAGGATTCGCGGAGCGGGCTCCGACGATGATGTCATCGAAGCCGTCCCCATTGATATCGCCTGCGCTGCTGCTGACGAATCCGGAGAAGTCACTGGCCTCTTCTCCATCCAGCCTGAACCCGTAGGTACCGTTCAACTGCGACAGCACGGGTGGATCGAATGGTGAAAAGGAATCAATGGTGATCAGGTAGTCTTCGACTTCTCCGTCGGTCGCTTCGCCGGTGACACCCAGTCCTCCGGTGGTGCTCAGGCGGAAACGTGCGTAGGTGTCTCCTTCTTCGACATTCGTTCCGGTGTCGTGAGGAATGGCGAAGTTGAGCGACTGCACGCCGTCCGAAGTGCCCAGGTCGAAATCGGTAAAGATCTGCTCGCCGGCGTCATTCCAGTCGCCGTCTCGATTCCAGTCGATCCAGGCATCCAGGCGATTGGAGGTGGGATCGGCATTGACCAGGCTGACATCCACGCTGCCGGTCGTGGGGCCGGCGGTGGACACGAGGATGGTGCTGGAGGCGAAGGTGATGCCGTCTTCATCGTCCGGGACTCCGGCGTTGTCATCGGAATCGGCTCCGACGGACTGAAACCCGTCAGATTCGATATCACGGTTGGCACCCAGCTGTGGCCCGGCGTCGAGGTGGCGAGCTCCGTCCTGAGCCAGCGTGACTGGGTAAGAAGCGGCGAAACCGGACTGAGCTGCACTGGCGGCGTCCCCAAAGTCGTGCGTGGCGGGAGCCGCTGTACGAAGGGCCAGCGCCATGACACCCAGTCCACCGGGCGGCGGTCCAACGACCTGAACGATAATCTGTCCGCTGCCATCGGCGGCCATTAATTCGGCGTAGCTGGACAGGTCGCGGGTGGAGTCGCCCAGTTCGTCGTTGATGTATGTTTCGTTGGCGTTGAAGTTCTGGCTGAAGTTGAGGGTACTTGCACCGGTGATGGTCACCGTGTGAGTCGCCCCGATGTCGTAGCCTCCAATGACATACAGCTCGTAGTCCTGCCCGGGAGTCAGGTTCGAGAACGTGAATTCGATGTTTCCGGACAAATCGGCGTAGCTGCCGTCAATTCCGGAAAGGGATTGTGTGTGGGAAGGCAGGTGCGTGGCCGAAGGCGTGTAGTTTTGTCCCGAGCCCGGACTGCTGTCCACGTTGACGAACACGTCCACACCGGTCGTCGCGCCTGTTTCGTCGATCAGGTTACTGATGGTGGTGTCGGAAGTGCCGTTGAAGGAATTCCAGTTGGTCGGTGTGTTTTGTCCTCCCAGGTCGACTCCGATCAGTGAACTTCCGGGAGCCGGCTGGCCGTCGAGTGACACCGGGACGGGCGCGGCAAACAGCGTGAGTGATCCGAAGCCGGTGGCACTGTTGACAACAATGCCGGTGTCAGCACCATCGACGAAACCGCTTTTGTTCAGGTCGTACGGACTGGCTACATCGACCGAACTGAAGGCCGAGGCGTTGTTCACGACAGCGCCGGTGTCGGCTCCGTCAACGGTGGTGGTGGCATCGTTGCCGGTTTCGCCGATCTGGTTGCCCCAGTAGTGCACATCGGCGGTGCTGAGACCGGTATTCTCATTGGCCAGAACAGTGACCTGCAGCCACTGATTGCGGATGGTGTTGTCTTCCCAGGTGATGGTGACACGATCCGATCCGTTTTCACCGGCTCCCTCACGCACGTCGAAACCACTGATCGGCGGAGCAGCTTCCCAGGTATCGGGGGCGTTATTGTTGCCCACCTTGAATTCGAAATCGGCAGCGGTGAGCGGACCGGCGGGCCGGGCGATGTCCACCATGATGCCGTTGATACCGCGGCTGTAGCCGGTGTAGTTCTCGAAGGACCCCATGACGCCGGGCATCAGGGCGGTCTTGTCGGTGGCGATGGCGGCATCGTCGTTGGCATTAATGCCGGCGTCACCGGTCAGTGTGGCCGGATCGTCGAAGCGGGAGTTGTTGTAGAACAGATGGCGACCGACGACGGACGCTGTGGCACTGCTGGAATCTGCGGTGGCAGGATCGTCGGAGCCGGCAGGCGTCTGAGTGACGCCACCGGGCGCATCCGCGATCGCAGGGCTGTCCGGCAGTTCAACAACCGTGGATGACAGAGCGATGCGTGATTCCAGCGCGTCGACACTGGAGAACGCATGGCTTGACTTAGTACGTGGGGCGGGTGTTTGCTTACGCGTGCAATCTGTCGGAGGGCGATTGCCACGAATCCAGTCGAATATCATGGGCGCGGGTATTCTTCGTCAGGCTGCTGGGTTGACTGCCCAGACACCGGTGTTTCCCGTGTCTGAGTCTCAACAGGTTCCAGTGCGTTCTATTGTTCAAAGGGCGGTCGCTCCGTGACAGGAACGATTCGCCTTACGGCCCGACGGCAGGTAAAGGTAGGTAGGGTTGTTCCAGGGATTCTGGTTGGATCGCCTGAAACTTCCTGTTTAACGGCTGCGACGATGCAGCCACGGCTGGTCTTCTTCGTCCTCCTGTTGATCGATAGGAGCAACAGAATTGGTTCGCAAATATCTGAATCCGGAGGCAAATTCATCAGGTCGCGCTACAACGGCCTCCGTCTGCGACGAGATTTCATTGCCATGCTGATCCTGGACCGCGATCGTGATCGTGTAGATGCCGCTTTCCAGGTAGATGTGGTTCGCTGTCAGGTTGCCATTGAAGTCGGCGGTCGCCATGTCGATGCCGCTGTCATCACCCCATTCGATGAATACAGTCCTGTTTTCAGGACTGGTGAAACCGATGAGTGAGGCGGCGATCGCCACGTCCCCTTCACTCGGCACCGACGTGTCCGGATGACTGGATGTCAGACCGACGATTTCTGTGGTCCGGGCTTCCTCAATGTCTCTCGTTGCGACGGTCTCCGGTGCCGCTTCTTTGGTCGTCTCGGCCACTGATTCCACTTGTGGGCTGTCGACGACAGGCTGGACCGGGACAGGGGCAGGTACCGGAGTGACCGTGCTGACCTCTGTGGTAAACGTCAGAGTCCTTCCATCGACGCTGTAGATCATTTCGATGAAGAACGCAGTTCCTCCGCTGACCGGCGGTGTGACCTGAGCAACGTATTCACCTCCGCCCTGATCGGTAAGGACTGAGCTGGTCCAGTTGGCTCCGAATGTCGGCATTCGGAAGTCGAGGTTAGTCAGGTTAGTCGCCTGCCACATGCGAACCTGGACCGGAGCTTCCACGGTGTTCAGCCGGATCCGCTGACCGTCTGACTCGAGTGTCCAGTCGTACGTCGGCAGGACGGAACCAGCTTCCAGTGCCTCGAAGAAGTTGATGATGCCGGTGCGTGCGTCGCCGTTCAGTCCGTGTCCGGCATTGGGCACGTAGCGGACATAGGTGGGACCTTCGAGGTCGTCCAGGTAGAACTGCCCGGAATCGGGGACAAAGAACTCATCGCCCGTGGCGTTGACCAGATACTTGGGCATCGTCAGTCGATCGCGGTATTCGTACGGATCGACGATCTCCAGCAGCTCCTGTCCCATCGGTGTGGTGATTTCCTGGACCACATTCAGATCCACGTAGTCGTGAATGGAGCTGGCGTAGCCCTGAGTCGTCTGGGTGGCCACATTGCTGTAGATGCTGTGATGATGCACCATCTGGTCATCCATGTTCAGCACGTCGATGACCATAGGAGCGATCGCTTTGACGCGTGAGTCCACAGCGGCGGTCAGCCAGGTGGTCCAGCCGCGCTTGGAAGCTCCGGTCACGATGAAGTCACTGATCGTGAGTGCCAGGCTGGAGGCATAGTCCTGAGCGGCGTCCATGGCAGCCACGGCGCTCTTCACCATCGGCAGCAGCAGCGGCCAGCTTTCATCGCCGGTATCGAGGAACTGTCGGTACGTGTAAGAGATGATCTCGTCTTCCGTTCGCGGTATGCCCTCGGCCAGGAACTCCTGAGGCTGGTTGGGAACGGTCGGCAGATTGACCACGATCTGTCCGGTCTGCAGGGCGGTATCCAGTGAAAAGCTGTCGAGACCAGTGGGAGCGGTTGGCGACTGCGATCCGCTGTCGATGTGCAGGATGGCCGTTTCAGAACTGGCACCATCGGGCACGATCACCGTGACCCAGTGCTGCCATTCCGGAGTCTGGACGATTGTGTCATCCAGCCAGGTTTGAGAATTCAGATCCAGCACGTGTGCCGTATAGCCGGCTCCGACAATGGTGGAGTCGAACGAATAGTCATATGTCGGGTCCGGTGTGGTGACATAGGTGTCGAGCGCCGTATTTGGTGTGGGATCGAACAGCACGTAGCCGTTAATCGGATCGGCGGTATCCGAAGCCCATTTGCCGTTGGGACTCGTCGGACTGACCTCGTTACTAAGTTCTCCGCTGGCTTCCAGGGAGAACGAAATGTCGATCGTGTGGCCCAGAGCGATATTCGGGTTGCCCAGACTGTCGGTCAGGAAACCAAGGAACGGCGCGACCATCTCCAGTTCATGGCCATCCGCTGAGATGGCCACTTCGGCGATGCCCGTATAAACCGGACCACGGTCCTCCACCAGAGTCAGTGTGTTATTGGAATGATAGACCCACTGTGTGTAGTTGTCGTAATTGCCAGGCGCCGGAGTTGCGGTGCCGACGGGATAAGGACCCGGGTTGCCGGGGACGTAGTTACCGTCGGTCAGGTCCACGAAATCCTGGTTGAGTTCCGTGGTAGTGAGTGCGTCGTGGCTCAGATAGTGCACGGTGTTGAGCTCACCGTCATAGAACTCCGCCTCCATGTTCATGTCGTAGCCACGGGTGGTCGGATAGTAACCACCTTCGTGCAGCCAGTACCCGGTATCATCATCGTTGTCGACATCAATCGTGACAATCACGTAATACCGACCCGCACGTCCGTTGCCGTCCGATTCATCCTGCGTGGCACCGATGTTTCCGGTGGCCCGGAAATACGCGTAAAGGTTCTCTTCGTCGTGGGTGAACTTGAATTCGACCAGGTCCACGTCCGGATGGTCAACGTAGCTCGGAGTGTCATTTTGCTGATCGTGGTCGGTATCGTGCTGGTCATCAACCGGATCGGTGTACGACGGCAGTGTTGCCCAGTCACTGAAATCGCCGTCGACAGTGATCTGTGGCAGCACGACATCCAGGTTGATGGTTTCGAAGTCGCTGGCTCCGAGGCTGTCCGTGACACGAACGGTGACGGTGTGAGAACCGACTCCATTGGCCTGCAGCGGTGTCCAGGTGAAGACTCCGGAATTCGGATCAATCCCTGCACCGGCAGGAGCTCCGGCATCCAGGCTGTAGGTGAGTGTCTGGCCGGGCACGTCGTCGTCGGTCGCGGATGCTGTGAATGTCAGCAAAGAACCTGGCGTGACGGTCTGGTCGCCGATCGGAGCCAGTACCGGTGGAATGGTGGGAGCAAACAGCAGCAGTGAGCTAAAGCCTGACGGGCTGTTGACGACGGCACCGACGTCCGCCCCGTCCACAAATCCGCTCTTGTTGACGTCGTACGGATTGGTGACATCTGCCGGAGTGAATCCGCTGGGATTGTTGACCACAATGCCAACATCACTGCCGTCGACGGATGTGGTCGGCGAGTTTCCGGTTTCACCAGCCTGGTTCCCCCAGTAATGAACATCGGGCGAAGTGAGTCCGGTGTTCTCATTCGCCAGGACCGTCACCTCCAGCCACTCGTTGCGAATGGCACCGTTCGGCCATGTGAAGGTGACTCGATCGGACCCGTTGACTCCTGCACCTGGACGAATGTCAAAGCCGTCTGGTTCGGGTGCGTCCGTCCAGCCGGTCAGGCTCGCCAGATTACCGACTCGGAATTCAAAGTCGTCGGCGGTGATCGTCCCGGACGCATTGGCGATATCGATCATGATGCCGGTGATCCCGCCGATGTATCCGCTGTAGTTGGCGAATGTCGCCATTTCACCGGGCATCAGAGCCGATTTGCTGTCGTCCGTGGCCGCATCATCATTGGCGCTGATGTCTGCGTTCTCCGGCAGATCCGGAGCGGCATCGTAGGACGTGCCGTTGTAGAACAGGTGACGACCGGCAACAGAAGATCCAGTGTCTTCGACGACGTCGATTTCCTGCGATCCGCTGTCGGGGACCGGGGCGGCAAACCGTGTCTGAACTTCGGTCTCAGAATCGGCATTCGCAGCTGAGTCGGGGGTGGCATCGCTCTTGTCGGACGTTGTTGTTGCGGTTGAGGCGGCATCGCCGTCGCGCACCGTGGCAGCGGAACTGTCACTCGGTTGATCCGGGGCCGGAGCGGGGTTTGGATCGAACAGGAAGTAGCCGTTGATCGGGTCAGCGGTATCGGAGGCCCACGTGCCGTTTGGATTGGTCGGACTGACTTCGTTACTGAGTTCTCCGCTGGCCTCCAGCGAGAACGAAATGTCAATCGTGTGGCCCAGCGCGATATTCGGATTGCCCTGACTGTCCGTCAGGAACCCGAGAAATGGAGCGACCATCTCCAGTTCATGACCATCCGGCGAGATGGCCACGGAAGCGATGCCCGTATAAACCGGGCCTTTGTCTTCCACCAGCGTCAGTGTGTTGTTCGGATGGTAGACCCACTGTGTGTAGTTGTCGTAATTACCGGGTGCCGGAGTTGCTGTGCCGACAGGATAAGGGCCCGGGTTGCCGGGGACGTAGTTGCCATCGGTCAGGTCTACAAAATCCTGGGTGAGCTCCGCTTCGGTGAGTGCGTCGTGGCTCAGATAGTGCACGGTGTTGAGTTCACCGTCATAGAACTCCGCTTCCATGTTCATGTCGTAGCCACGGGTGGTTGGATAGTAGCCACCTTCGTGCAGCCAGTACCCGGTATCATCATCGTTGTCGACATCAATCGTGACAATCACGTAGTAGCGACCCGCACGCCCGTTGCCATCAGATTCGTCCTGCGTGGCACCGATGTTGCCGGTGGCGCGGAAGTACGCGTACAGGTTCTCGGAGTCGTGGGTGAACTTGAATTCGACCAGGTCCACATCCGGATGATCAACGTAGCTCGGAGTGTCATTTTGCTGGTCGTGGTCGGTATCGTGCTGGTCATCAACCGGGTCGGTGTACGACGGCAAAGTTGCCCAGTCGCTGAAATTGCCATCAACGGTGATCTGTGGCAGCACCACATCAACGTTGATGGTTTCGAAGTCGCTGGCACCCAGGTCGTCGGTGACACGAACCGTGATGGTGTGGGAACCGAGCCCGTCCGCCTGCGGCGGCGTCCAGGTAAACACACCGGAGTTGGGATCGATGTCCGCGT